AAATAAAATTAAATATTTTAATTTTTTAAAAAGTTAAATCATAAATATTTATACTTAAAAAATTCAGGCCAAATTTGCACTGAATTTGTATACAGTTTAAGGGATAATGAGCCTTTCTGTAATGAACTCTGGACATAGTGAACCAAAAATTTTAAATTTTATTAGTTTGATATAAAGAGTTATGGCTCTTAAAAAAAAACAGTAATTTGGTGCCACCAAGGGAAAACCACACTTCGCGCTTTCAAATATATTTTTACCAGACTTTATCCCTGAGATTTCTTAGAGCATAATTCGATAAAAAATATATTTAAAAGTCCCGAAGTGTGTTTTTCCCTTGATAGCACTCATTTCATATAGAAAACTTTTTTAAATACAGAACCATCTATTCATTATTGAGAGTTGACTACAAAATTTAAAATTTTTAATTCTTTAGAGAGGTTTGATATAGAGTTTACTGTATTATCTTTTATCTAATTCTATTTGTGTTTATTTAGTTGACAGTTATTTATTAATTAATATATTGAAGACTAGCTATTCAAATTCGTAGATATTTAGCATCACACAAAATATTTCTCTAATTCAACTCTATTTATTAATTAATTGATGTATTTAAGCCAATATATTAAAATTGTTATTGCAATATCTTATTCTATATGTTGATTTAGTTATAAATGTAATAATAATCGCATTTAAATTCAATAAAATAAAGTTTTTTTATTAATATTTATAATTGATTTTGATTGGTTAATTGTGGAGTCGCCATAAAATAATGCACCTTTTAAAATATCTCAAATAAGTTATCTATTAAAGATAAACTAAATATTTATTTTGTTTTTCTAACTAATAGTAACAATACTATATTTTATTTTTATTATTATACAATATATGGCTTGCTATATTTTTTATAAAATAATCCAAAGAAATATATACTAGCAAATCTAATCTATAGCAAAATAAGTAGCTAGTTTAGTATTTTTACTTAGCAAATAGATTATAACTTTATTAATAAAATTTTTAATACATTAAATTATTTCTTATCTAAATATCCAAGATTCTATTTTATTCTAATTTAAAGTATAAAAATTATAACTAGAATTAGTTAAAATCAATTTACACATATTTATTTTTAATACTATTCACTATTATAGCAATAATATTTGAATAGAATTTATAATATAAGGTAGAGGGAGGTATTCTGGTGGAGTTAAATTTTATCAAAATTTGCTTATAGTGAAACTTCATTAAAATATTACTAATTGCAAATTTTATTTCGATATAATATAATTCTTGCCTATTTAAATTATAAAATCAAAAAAAAAAAACAAGTTGACTTGTATTCGCAAGACTTTTATCAGTGCGAAGTAGCTATAACCGCCGGGAGGGTAAAGTGGCGGATCGATTGATCGACATAAAATTAATCAATAATTTATAAATGGATTACGATAATCATCCGCAGTATCATTCGCTCTTTACAAAGAGTAAGTGACGATTATCTTGCAACCTATTGATCAGAATCGAATGTTTTTTACATCATTCGATTCGACTTGATGAGACGAATCAAACGGTATAAGAATCATTAGCCTCCAACCGGTAAACTGCATGTTAACTTCAATATTATATGATCCGCCACTTTACCCACCCCGCCATAATACCTCCCTTTACCTTATAAGTACTAAAAAAAATACTATGTAAAGTTTTATTTTTATAGCACGTGGGTACTGGAAGATGATCTATTGGCTAGTTATACTAAAATTTTGCAAGTAACTTTTTGATTTTCACACCTAATCTTGCATTCTGATTGGCCAGAATTAGAAACTTGAGAAAAAATTAGTAAATGAGTGAACTTTCCCTTAATAAGGTTTTTTCATGGTAGTTGCTAGTTCATTTTTATATTACATCATTACAGCATTAAAAAATTCATTAAATGATAAATTATATAGGTTTGTGCGTCTAAATACGAAAGTTGAGAAAAATTTAGAAATTTTTAAACTCTAATTTTTTATGACTTTAACAGCTGTTTTATTTGAGGTGAATTAGGAAGCTGTCGCATATATTTAATCTGAAATGGTGATGTACATTGATCACTTCTTTTTTTATAATCCTTTACGATCTTGCTCACATATCCCTGTAAGTAGTAAACAGTAAGCAAGTATTTTTCTTTAAAAAGCAATAAAATGAAAATTATACCTCCAAAGCTGCAAAATGACTCAGCGAATATTCTGCCAAAGGAATCGTTGTATAATCAATTACCAGCCGAGTAGTGCGAAATGACCAAGAACGGTATAAACCGTCGAACCTCAGATCCATTATAAAGGAGCTTACCAAATCACCTAAAACATAATTAAATATATCATATATGTCAAAAGAATAATGAATTCGACTTATCTATTATATATACCAAAATTTGTTAATAATGCAACTTCGCATGGACCACCTTTCGACTCAAGTTGCTGATTAATTGACTTTCTGCCTTCTAATTGAACCTTTATGCTGTCTTTTTTTTGCTGCAGGGGAGTACATCCCAATGGTTCAATCTTGGAGCTTAAAAAAGTAATATCACTCAAAACACAGGCAAAATCCGGCCTTTTTTTCGATCCTTTTATAGCACGGTTCAATCGAACTTCATAATCTTTTTGAGAATTCAAAAAAAATGGACGGGTGACTGGGTGTAATATTTTGTAACAGTGCTCATCCTCAGTCATTCTTGGATGTGCAACAGGGGGAACACTTTCATAACTACAATGTGTAAAAAAAATTATAATCATTTATTATATACAGTATACTATGTAAAACAGATAAACTACATACATATCATTGAATGATCTTGAAACTGCTTTACTCAATGCAGAATCGCCAGGATA